AAACTGTGCTCTGAGCACCTCCTAATACTGGGAGCTCAGTATAAGTAACAATTTGCCATTAAGATTTTGCCAGGAGTGACTAAATGGCACAGTTAAATTTGCAGTGTTCCTTCAAGCTTCATTTCCTCTCAGGAAAAGATCAGCAGTCAAATAGAACAAGAGCTGTTCTAGAGAAACAGGATAATCAATCAGTGACTACTTTTAGCCAAATGATTTTACCCATTAGTATATTTTTCCCAACACTGTTTTATTGGAATAGCTAATGATGTTAAACTTCAGAGCCCAGATGGATTTCTTGCTTCAGACTGAGGACTGAACATTGTAGGGAACTTAAAACTAGTAATTTTGGGAGTTTCAATCAGGAAAGAGAGTAAATTTCTCCATTAAATGACTCTTTGTGGATAATATCATCTTCTACATAGAAACTGCTGAACTATTAACATAATACCACTAAAACTATTTTAGTTCCCACATATCAGTTGGCATAAAGATTTCATGTTATTCTGCTGGCAGCATTACCTTAAATGATACAACACAGAAGTGTGTTAAAATATTACTGCTTCTGTTTAGATTTGCAAACACATCTGAAAAGAAGAGGTGAGAGGACGGCTATTTAAAATGCTTTTTCCTTCCTCACGTCAAATACAGTAGGTAAATCTGATGCTGAAATAGATGAAAGTATTAGTGTATTCTAGTTAGGAACACAAGGTATCACTAAGCACTGCTTTCTAAAAAATCTTGTGTAGGAGACCTCCTGAGAATGAATTAGGGAGTGATAACATTGAAATAAAAGGATTTGTGTAGCAGTAGCTGGAAGCAGAAATTGGTTTGTTCTCCTGCCAAATGGATATATACTGACTTCACTGGGCTTGTGCAGTACTGAGGGAGCAAGTTGTGTCTTTGTTGAAACCAGTGACAGAACTCTCACTGACTGCAGTAGAACCTGGAATTAATGCTCTGTTTCTCTGTGACTTACGTTTTGACATAATTTATAGGAGGGGACTTTTTTGTCTTGGTCAACGTAGTAAGGGCCTGTCAGAACGTCATGGAGATCTATGAAGTAACTGCAGACTAATGTGACTGGAAATGAGAGGAGAGTTTGACCTGCTGTCTGTTGGAGAGGAAATGTGAAGTAATGAAACCAGAGTGCAAGGAGACCACTAGAACTGGAAGATGAGCTGCTATTTGGAAACAGCACAGCAAGATCTTAACAACCACTGGAGCTCCAGGTTTGCTGTAGCTAACATGTGACACTGAAAGGAGGGTAATTTCTTGTACCTAATACATTATCAGTACAATTGAAGCTAGAAAATGTTTGACTGCAGTATTTCTTCCTAAATTCAGGCAGGAATTGTAACAAATACGTAAAACTTGTGGCTTTCCTCAGCAAATGGAAGGATACGTCAGCTGAGCTTTTCCTGTACTCTCAGTTCCGTGGAAAATTATGAACATCATAACGTATTCAGAGATGACATTGGTGCCAGGTCACACAGCTACTGGCTGAGGAGCGCTGAAGTGCACTCTGAGAATGGTTAATGTTTCTTTTTATTGCAGAGTCAAAATAAGACAGAGCTATACTGCAGACTCTTTTCCACTTGTACTCTGGGGATTCTTAAATATTTCACTTTTCCTGGTGGCTATATGCAGCAAAACAAAATATCAACCAGTAGTTTACATTTTTGCTGCCTGCTTTATTTAGCACCAACCCTGAAGTGACTCTGGGCATTTATAAAAAGACAACTCTCACAACACTAAGCCCATGTGAAAGCTGGTGTCGGCTTTCCTCTGAGGAGATTAAAAACAGAGGCTGTGCTGTACAGTGCCAAGCCCAGCTTCATGGCTATGGTAAGCCAGGGAGCCTGTTTTCTGTCCCATCATTGGCTGTGTAATGCTCTCTGCAAAAGCGCACTGGGGATTAATGGTATAACTTCTTCTGTCACTGTCTTTCCAAGTGAATTCACTGGTCTGAGGATGTGACTGATACTTAAAACTGAGCCCTGAATCTAAATCAGTGCAGGACAGTCCTTCCCAAGAGAAGGACGTGTTGTAAAATGGACATGAATTGCCATTTGCCACAACCTTATATTAGTAAAACTGCTACTAGGTTAGAACATAAATATTTTATATCCCTGAAAAGTTAGGAAGTTCTCAGGATTGTCATAATGAGACCTCATTTATTAGAGGTTATAGGATATGTTTCTTTCTATATTCCACTGTCTGTTTCTTTCTATATTCCACTGTCTTCATGCCAGTATAAGATGGTCAATGACATGTTAATGTTAGGAAAACACTCAGGTTCTTTTTAAATGTCTTAGATTTTACAAGCTAAAAGCAAAGAGGAGAGGCAGCCTAATGGAAGTTTTCCTTAGGCTGCTGTTCAGCAAAGGCCACACTTCAGAACTTCCTCAAAGAGTATCAACACCCCTATGAACAGTGTAAACCAGCCTAGTGGCATTGGAGAAGTACCTGATGGTAAGGGCTCTGAAGAAAGCATGCTCTGACAGCCTGTTTTGCTTATAGACGTGGATGCTCAAAACAGGAGGTTTTCTTTGAGAAGGGCTCAGGACAGAATACAAATAAATCAATACACCAGAAATGCTTGTGGGACAAAATATTTCAGTCTTTCAGGCAGTTGAAGTCCAGACATTCAGGGGAAGTAAGTTAAATAACTGGTGGTGCTTTTGAATGAGAACATTCGTCTTGTTTGTCAAAGTCCCACAGATATTCTTCAAAATGACAGAAGCGTCTGACCACATTTCCCCCTTTCCCTACCCTGAATGAACTTGTGAACCAGTTAGGCGCTGTCTGGGTTCCGGACATTTCAATAGTTTTGGCTCCATTCTAACGTTCAGCCTAGAGGAATTCCTGTTAATTTTGTTTATGCTCTTTATTAAGCTTTTGTTTTGTTACTTCAGGCCTTTTCTGCATGTTGAATGGGAAAACCATTTTATCTGATGGAATTTGCATTTCCATAATTTTGAGAAATGGCTCCTTTCTCTGAGAACATCCTATGCAGAGATTGAGAGTCGAAAAATTCCTGAAGTTGATGTTGTTTGTGAGATACACATGGATCTAGACTGCATTTCACTGATTGTCTTTGCTCTATATATGATGAGGAGAAAGAAAAGCTTGATGCTTTGCATCTGAATTTGTTATGGACAACTCTAAAGCCCAACCATTTTTTTAGGGGGTTCTACCATTGAATGTATGAGTATGCTGGAGAAGAAGTGATGGGGAGTGGTGGTTGCTATTTCCTTAGCAGGAGGTTATCAAATAAGCAAAGATCTGGCGTGTACTGGGTATTATTATGTGAGAGTCTACAGATAGCAAATCCAGCAACTTGGGTTTCAAGCATGTTGTAACTCTGGGCACCTGTTAGAACATCAGGAGAACTACACTGAGGAGCCTAGAAGAGATCAAGGTTTCTTTTGCAAAAAACATGGAGTGGAAATAGCCATCCTCCTGCCACAAGTATTGTGGAACTTCCACTGTCAAAAGCAACATTCTCTCAGCTGATTTTCTGGATAAGGATCGTAATGCAAATATCAAGGTGAAGCGGTGCCAAATTCATCAGTCTCGTAGATCCTGGATTAGTCTGGCAGGTGGGTATGCTACCTAAACTCATCCTATATGATGTATGTTTAATGTGGTGAGGCAATCCTGCTAAGCCTTCTGGCTTAATAAATCTGTGATTGTAGTGACCAATCTACTGAAACTGCACATCGGTTCCTTTTGGTATAACTTTGGTATAACTTCAGACAAAATGATACCATGATACCTGATGAGGCTTTTAAATATGCCCTGATTTTTTATTTTTAATTTGGAGATGTCAGGAAGCTTCACGAAAACTTGTATTATTATTCTTAAACTTGGCTCAGAGTCTATGAACATTTTTCCTGCCTCGTTCTTTCAAAGCCTATGGACCTCACAGAGAGATTTAGAAAGTTGGACTTGCTTGACCTTCACTCCTTTTCTGTCTCTGTTTTTATCTTCACAAATGTAAGGCATAAACCAACATAATCATCCTTGGGTTAGAAGGAAGGAGATCTTGAAGGCAAAAAAAATCTGTAAAAAATTCTGTTTTGATGCTCTTTAAATTAAAAAATAAAATAAAATTTTACATGTGTTTGTGGTTCTCTGCAGTAGATAACACAGAAGTACAAAGTATTAATGAGGACTGTACCTTGTTCAGTGCAAGCTCTGTAGTCTAGTTCTACTTGATTTATGTAAGGTGGATATTTCTGAAGAAGAGAAACACAAAAGAGTCTGCAAATCCTTTGCCCTGATGGATGGTGCGTGTTTTTTGAATGACATTCTGAAGGAGCTGAGCAGCAGTAGAGAGAGGAAGTGAGAAGAGTTGGTTTGGTGTTATATTATTGCTTATGAGACTCCTGATGAATTCCTGTTGGCCTCCTGCTGGTGTGGACTCATGGCACCACACAGTTTTCACCTGAGCTGTTTGTGCAACTCCCGAGGGAGGAGAGTTACTCCTTTCTCCACCTTCCCACAACCTGGGCAAGACAAAACAATTTGACGTCTCTCTTGGTTTTCCAAGGAACAGTGACTGGTGCTTGTCTGCAGTTTTGAGATCAAACTGGGTGGAACGAACCTACTGCAAACACGAAAGCAGAACAGAAATATATTTTAGCTGCTTAAAACTTTGCTTTCTCCCTGCTTCACCTCAGGCCACCAGGTGGATTATAATATTATTATATTATATCTTCCCATAAAGTACCTTGACAGTTCACTTTGGAAACAGTCTTCTAGGAAAGGTGAGACTGCATCATGGGCTGTGTGGTGAGGTAGAACTCTGGTCAGATGAGAACTAGCCATTTAGCTCAATACATTATACACCAAATTTATAAAGCTGGCTTTGACTTTACCAGCACAACAGGAGCCTTGTCTAAGCACCTGGCCCCAGGACTGGCACTAGTTAGGAGACTGGGCTTGCTCTTCGAGTTTCACTGGGGAAAGATTTAGCATCAGGAAGTTTCCATTTGCTTGCCTGCTTGTGTAATGGATGGTACCTCTCTTTCTTTACTCTTTCAGGTTTTTCCTGGCTCACACAGCAGCATCTTGTAACATCATAACATCCTTTATTTACACCCATCTGAGGAGGAACTCAGGTTGGTTGTTTATTTATGCTGGGAAGTGGGTTAGTTTCTTTCTCCACAGCTTTCCTTCAGCACAGGGGTGAGAAGGGACTGACTTGCCTCAAAATGATGCAAATTAAATACTGGCAAAACTAAGAGGAAATCTGATTTCACTGTCAGACTACCCTAAATGAGTACTTGATCTACTGATTGGAGAAACCTTTTTCAAGAAGAAAAGTGCTTGAGTTGGTTTTGCATTTAAAGCTTAAACAGAGCTATGTTATCAGACTTCTTTCACAGCAAACCTCTCTTAAAATTTTTCTTTCTCTATTGTTTTTCACATATCTCTGCATTTCCAGACTCTGACCTCAACTGTAACTGGCATGAATATGTCCCCTTGGGAATTTTGGATGTTGCAGTACTTGCTTGATAAGCATCCTCATCTGGTGATGATACAGGTAACCTATCATAAATATAACATCTTTCTATTCTTAAACTCATACTTTATATTGAATGAGCAGTGTTCACAGATGTGTATAAGTACTAGAGAATCATGGTGAGGCTGAGGAAAGCTTCTATAAATGATTCCTTTAATGCTATGAGCATTTCTGGTTGCATTGCTTAGAAAGAAAATTTCTTCATTAAAAATGGTAGTGAACCGAGTGCTGCAGAGGTAAATGACAGGATTGGTGAAAATACACATAGCCCTGCTAAATACTTTGAGTTCATATAAACACCATTAATGTCTAAGATGGTTGACACTTCTTTTTATAACTTAAGATATTTGTCTTCCTTGGCCCACAAGGATCTCACACATTTGGTGCTTGTTCTCTGAACTTTCTGTAAAGGCATCTGGAAAAATGAATCTGCCCCTCTGAAACTTGATGGTAGGGCCAAGCTCGGTTGTCTTCCTCAACTTGAGCTTGGGCTTCACTTTGATTTCTTCCTGTGTGAGGTGGGACAGAATTGGAGTGGGTCTCTGTCATAAGCAAGGTGATGCCACCTTCCAGGGCACTTTTCTGCCTGTAGGACAGTGCTCATGTCATTTCAGGTAACCAGGGTGGGAAGGGTCTGCTGCTCAAAGCTGTTGGGTTGTTGGGCAGAGAAGTCTCTGTAACCTATTAATTATTTACCTTTTTTTCATGCCAATTGCTAGAAAGCATCTTAAACATTGTCAGTTAGGTCTCCTCCTGCTCCCATTTAATCACAGATGAGTCTCCAGTTGACTTTACTGGGGCAGAATCCAGCCCATTGTGCTTGTGGCTTTGTTTTCAACTGAGACCACTAATTCACTGCATCCAAGTCAGATAATTGATTTAATTGACAGCTTTTTCGAAGAGAAAGTTGGTCTGCACAGGCTTTTCCTTGATATTGTCTCATACGTAGTTTGTTTTGTTGTTTCTTTTTAAATCTTTGTTAGTTTTTAAGATAAGCATGGTTTGGCAAAATATACTTTGTGATCTATTAAGAACATTTTTAGCTGATTGCAACTGTTCTTGCTAACCTTAAAATCAACACAGAACTATTTGTTTGAAATGTTTAAATGAAGATTTCAAGCAACTGCAAAGTTCTTTTTTGTCCCACATAGTTGGAAAAGAATCACATACCACTAAATGAATTTACAGACCCCAATATAGTTATGAATATGTCATTATTTTCTGCACCCTGCATTGAATGCAAGGAGAACAAGGGGTCACTAGGTAGTTCATATTGCACAGCAGGACACATTCCACTGAAAAAGTCCAACCACCAAGAAAAAGGTGGTAACCAACAAAAAAGGGGGGATCTTGAGTTATTTAATTTTTCATTATGTGTTTAAGAGCCATATTTTTCCTTATGAGTCAACTGGTATGTCATGGAACCAAAATTTATACCTGAAAATGTGGACTGGAATGCTACTAATAGTGGGAAAAATGATGGAAAGATCTTCAACCTGTATTAACTTTCATGGTGCTTCTGAGCACCAGAATTGCACTGGTCTGGACAGTGAACTGTACTGGAAGGACTGAGTTTGTCAAGGTTAAAATACAATGACAAACCCAAAGACCTTGATTGTCAAAACTACCATTTTCTTAAACAGTTTAAACATTTTATCAGTTGGATTTAATATCTATGTATATGAATTGTGTCTATAATTTTACACAGTAGAGAGATCCCATGTTATTTCAATAGCGAGATAGGAAAACACTGAGAATTAAAAACATAAATTGCTATAAAATAGATGTAGAATCAGGCCTATGCTCAAAATATACTGCTGCCACAGTAAATAGCTCCAGTTGAAGAGCACTGCAGATTTACTTCCATTGTCTAAGACATAAAGCACAGCTATGGCCAAAACCAAGCAGCAGGAAAGATTCTGATGTACAGTCTGCCTTTCTTTGTGTGGTTTCATGCTTTGCTGATGCCACAGGACCTCCCAGCATGCATAAGCCAAATGATAAACTGTCTTAGGGGACTGCTCTGTATCAGTGTGTCCCCAAGATGCAGCATCAGGATATGAAAGTGGCTAGGTTTTTCTTTTTAAAATTTGTTGAAACAAATTTGCATGGAGGAGAAACTTCAGACATAATAATGTTTTACGCTCTGTTAATGTACATTGTTATTATGTTGAATAATTTTAGTCTATTTTCATCTCAAGATGTGTTTAAAAGGCTGACAGGGAGAAATCATCTTGGTAACTGGGCAAATTTCAACTTTAATTCCTTGACAACTTATAAACCTGCAGATATGTGAATTTTTTTTTTTTTTGAGTAATATTAGGAAGTGTAGACACACTTTCAATCCAGATCAAATATGGTCTTAATATACAGATTAAATAGTCAAATGTCCCCTGGCAAAATCTGATACAATACTAAGATAGATGGCCCTTGATGCCAAAAAATCAAGAAATACTTGAGGTGTGACTTATTTCAAAGGCTGACTTTCTGTGAGAAATTCCAAGCCTTGCCAGATGAATCCAAGAAGAGGACCAGAGACCTTGTGGTTGTGTAGAAGTAGGACGTGATTTTATAATTTATGGTTCTAAATGCAACTTATTTGAGATACTATCAGTGAATGCATGGTGTCACTGAAAGGGAATCTGTGTTTCTGCTTGGAACTTCTTGGCTAGCTTATCGAGTACAAAAGTCACAAAACTAGTGATCAAATCAAAGATACTGTGTATTTTTTCTGGATTTTTAAACATCTATCCTTACTCCAGATTAGCAACACCAAGTACAGTAAATTAGTCCTAGAATTTTAGGTAGGTACTGTGTTATATATGTAAACCATATGGTGTTTGTTGGGTTTTTTTTTAAATAACATAATTTTGTAACCTAGGATAGGAGTCTACAATTGTCAGTAATATCATAGAATCACAGAATGGGTTGGGTTGGAAGGAGCCTTAAAGATCATCCAGTTCCAACCTCCCCACCATGGGCAGGGACACCTTCCACTATCCCAGGTTGCTCAGAGCCCCATCCAATGAGTCCTTGAACACTTCCAGGGGTGGGACATGCACAACTTCTCTGGGCAACCTGTACCTCACCACTCTAACAGTAATTTCTTCTGTAGATCTAACCTACATTTTCCCTCTTTCAGTTTGAACCTATTACTCCTTGTCCTATAACTTTATGCTCTCGTAAACAGCCTTTTTTCATCAGTAGTATATGTCCCTAGAACTCAATGAGTGTTTCTCTAATCAAGGTAATTAACCCCCTTCTCTTACAGACTTGATCCTGAGATGAAAAGTTTCCAGCATGTTGTTGCTGTGCTGTATAAAATTTCGATTTCTAAGAAAGAAGAAGATCTTAAAATTTTATGCAGAAAACCTCTCAGTTTTCTGAGTGGATGAGTCAGTTGGTGATGGTTTTTCCTCTGCCAAATCAGTCAGTGGCTGAGGCCCCTCTTGCTGTGCAGAACCACTGGAATGGATGAGCAATATCTGATGGGCTAGAGCAGAGGTCTTTAGATGACCTGCCTGTTGACATTGGAAAGCCATTGGGTGTAATAGAAGCAGAGAGCAAACCAAAACAGATGGTATTGGTGCTGCATTAACAGCACTGGGTGTGTTCTGAGGCAGGAATGGCTTTGGACTGGATTTGGTCTGGTCCCCCCTCATGGAAATCCCCGGGATCCATGTCATTTGAGGCTGTCCACAGGGCTGATCTCCTCCAGGCCCTGTGTCCCTGGTGGAAGCTGGGGTACATTTGGTGCACATCTGGAACAATGTTCAGTTTCCTCCCAAGGAATTTAGTCCATGTAGTGAAACATGGACTGTTTGTAGTGAAACAACTCTGAGAATCAAACTAATAGCCAGACATGACTGGGGAATTTAACTCAAAACTGCATGACTGCTCTGAACCGAAACAAAAGTAGGTGTCATAGCTTCTCTCCCATGTTGAACTTTGTGCTGGTGGCCTGGTAAAGGTAAAAGAGATCTGTCTTCAGGAAGAAAAAAAAAGTTGTCTTTTTTTATTTTTTTTTAGGCAATGTTGCATAGCTAATTTGAAAACCAGCATTTTTGTTGACTCAAATGCTAGGTAGGTGAATCCTATCCAACTCTGAGCACAGGTCAGGTTTTCCAAGGTAAATCCTATGACTGACTGAGAAGCATTAAAAAAGGGAAAGAAAACTTCTACAATTAACCTTAAACGTGCATTCATGTGTAAATACAGTCATGAGACCTGTCTAAATGTGAAATCTTTATATGTGTTCAAATTTGTTTTATTTTGCTGAATGCAAATGATCATGTGTGCAAAGAATTATTTTAATAGTAACTGATATAATTTCTTTTATTTAACTTCATTTCACATTGCAATAAAGGGGGGGGGGGGTTTGTTTCTCCTGACATGGCTACAACTCAACTTTTTGGAAATGAAGTACTGTTACTTCAACAATGAGTGTTACAATTTATAAAAATATTTTAGTCTTGGAGGGGAAGAAAAATCTTTAGAGACTCACAACCTGATTCTCACACACTTTTGCACATAAAAGTGAAATTACATATATCAGTATTGGGTCCTAACCCCCCAAAAGAAGTCCAAACAGATGTATATTATTAATTTATTAGTTTTTTAAAGTCATTTTCCCAAACCTCTGCTACACTTGTAACACCGTCCCTTTCCCCACAGTATCTGCTTAAAAGAGATCAAAGGATTGTTTACAAATTCGTATTGATTATGGTGAACTGCTTTACTCAGAAAAATATTCTGAATTGTTTCAGGTTTAAATTTTAAAAAAACTGTGCCTTTTTAGCGCTCAAATGGTTTGAACACAGTTCCAAATACTGAATGCACTCCTAAGCACTGCCATGCCGTGGGAAGTTCAACTCACACAGCAGGTTAGTTTATACCCTCTTTCAAATGTCAAGCAAAGTAAAACGTGCTGTCTGTGTACCTCTGAGTGGAAACTGTCCTGCATGCTGCCAAAAGGCAATTTTTACCTAGTTCTTATATTCCACATACAAAGTATGTAGACAGTATGTGTATAGTATGAAGATGGCCAAACAGAGCTTGCTGTGCAGTTCTTAGTAGAGCATGGAAAGGAAATGAGATAAAAGTGGGAAGGGCAAGGTTTATGAAGAACCAAATGGGGAAAGTGCGGTGGGAAGAGGGATGAAAAAATGTGTAAGCTCCTATCTGCCCCAAGGAGTCCAACAGTGGGGGACCAGATGCTCTGCAGCAAGTGTTTAGGTTTAGAAAGGAGATGGCAGGGAATTGTGACTTGCTCAATGGAAATCTTGACCAAATGTCTGGTGGACTCATTTCTCTGATAGTCGTGCAGATTGCTCCTGTCTAGTTCTCCCTATGCATTCTTTCCCCTGCTTTACTAGGGCCTTGAGGAATAGAAAAGAAGATGTCATCTCAAGCTAATTCTATAAACACTGCTATCAGAAAAGGCCTTTTAAACTATCATAAAAAGACTCATTGTGCAACTGAAGTCTTGGAACAAGAGTGGGTTATAGCTCAACCATTGTTAAAGGTTAATGTTCCTATCATTGCATTCCTTTTTCTAGTTCCCATAACCAGGCTGTAATGATAGATAAATATATGAGCTATTTCTTTGTGTTGGCAAAATCACAATTCAGAAAGACATAGTTTCCTAAGTTATTTTTAAACTAATATGCTGGTTTATAGCTAGATGAACCAACCCATCTTTTTTAAGAGAAAGGAGAAAGACTTTTTATGATATGTTGCTTTTGCAGAAAGCGAGCGTTTTTGTCTATCAACACAGAGTAACAACTTTATGAAGTCAATTCATGAACTGAAAAGGAAACTAATTAAAACAATAACATTAATTTACTGTTGCCAATTGTTAACCGATCCGGTACTTTCCACAATTATTTTTGCTGTTGTAAAATAATTTTAATGTCTCTGTCATTGTTCTGTATTGTTATGTTCCTGTAAGTGCTGAATGCTGATTCCAGGGCAGAAATTTTATTTACTGTTAGCTGACTGAGCAACAAAGTCTGCACATCTCTCTTCCCAGCTCTTTCAATTTTCCTGCAAGGAGCAAAGAAATGTCCTCTGTATTTTGCTTGGTTGCTGTGCTTCTTGATTAGTGCATGAAGAGTGCTTTTTATCAGTGAGGTATTCTGATAAAATATTATAACTTCTAGGCAACTCTGCAGTTTGAGGCTTAAATGTTTTCTTATGACGGGGGAGGGGTAGAGCATCTTAGCCTAGGTTTTCTTTACAAATCAGGAGCAAGAGTATTTAGCATTCACAGTTTAATCAGATCCGGAGAAGCTTCTGAGTTTCCATAAAATTCCTCTTGCCCAACTCCACCAGTCTGCTCAACCACCTGCAGAGTCTCATGTGCTTCTGAGCTGGTAGATCTGAGTGTTGGATCTTGTGCATTGTTCACTCTGTGTTTTACAGGCAGTTTTCTGGTGAGACTTTAGCACAGCCTAGCTGTGCTGTGCTCAGCACCTGTTCATAAAGCTTGAATACCATTTTACTGCCACTGCTTACAGGTTTTCTGGTTCAGGGACAAACTGAGAAGAAGAAGCAGGCCAGCTGCAACTACCTCCTCTTTTTGAAGTCCTATCTACTGGAAATGTTTCTGAACTAAAAGTAATCCCCAATAATCCTTTTTTTTTTTTCTTTCTTTTTTTTTTTTTTTTTTTTTTCTTTTTTTTTTTTTTTTCCCCAGGAAAAGAAAACATTCTCTTAACTCTTTCCTGGCTTGTGGTGGTTTTGAAGGAAAGTGAATAATTCCCTCTTTAACAATCTGAAGGAAAATACCTGTGAAAGGTAAGTCAGATGAGACATTTTAATTGCATGTCCCAGTGAACAGAGCCACTCAAACTGGGGCTCCAGATGGTGTCTGAGTAGATGGCCCTGATTCCCTGCAGAGGTTCAATAATCAGATCCTTCTTTAGAGTGGGTATTAAATGTCCTTAAGCAAGAGATGGATGGGGAGCCCTCCTAAGGAAATTCTTATTGAAACATTCTTGTTTTTTTAACACAAGAAGAAATAATGTGGGTCCTTCTGTAATTCCTTTCTGTATATTAGTGGTATATCTGCTAACACTATTTAGTTAACTTTTTAGGTAATCTTTTTGTGAAATATTTAGACTTTTTTAAAAAAAAAAACCAACAACAAACCAAACCACCCCAAAAACCCATAAAACAACCAAAGGGAAAGGAAAATAGATATGAACCTTTCAGCAAAAAACAAATACTGCCAATGCATTTTTGTGAACAGTGAACCATTTTTCATCTTCTGAAATTGTTAACTCTGAAGTCTAACAAGCACTCAAAAAATTTTAAGCGTTAGCTCTTTGATTCCTGCTATATTGACCCTGAATGCAAAGAACCAGTAATAAACAATTTTAAACTCTGTTATCATTAAAGAAACCTCCTGCATTTCTTCTTTTGTGCAGATCTGCTGTTCACGGTGCTGTGTGTTGGTCGTTTACACAGAGGAGCACATAGTACTGTTCATAAACCTCGTGTGAATACAACTTACACTTGCCCCTTGTTAGCGCTGAAGCAGCAACTCTAATATGTTTTTCAAGTTCTACTCTTTCTCTATAGGCTGCTTTTAGTCTTCTGTGCAGCCTTTCAGTTGTGACTGACAGAAACATCAGAGAAAAGAATCTATGGCATTTGAGGAGGAGGTTATTAGAAAGAGTGTGGTGGCATAGTTTGGGCCAAATATGTTTTGATAGATACAGGAGTACACAACTATTGTTTCCATAGCTTTTGCCTCTCTTTCAGTGATTTGGTAAAGGTTTGGATTTCCTATTTTATTCCCAGCTGTGAGGTTTGCTATATTAAAATTAAACAAACATTATCTGGTAGTATTATTTTATGTGCTGATGAGACAGATATCACTACAGGATGAGACGAATGTGTTGTATCTGTACAGCAGGAGAAACACAGGGCAGGGATAGCTGCCCTTTGAAAGGGTTTCAGTGACTAGTGCTTATATGGAAAAATTATGTTAGTTCTGCTTTTCTTGACAGACACGATCTATTCAGCTCTTGGCAAAACCTAGAAACTCAGCATCACACATTATGTCTGGTTTGCCTTCACTGTGATTATAAAATTAATATGGTTTCAGGTACTAGTTTGGGTGCAATCTCTTCAAAATCTATGCAAATTTTAAACAATGAAGTAGGCCTCTGGTAAAAGACTATAAAAATACAACTAACTAAGAGCAGTTTTATTCAAGAGATTTCTTCAGAGTAAAGTAGTATACTTTTTGTTGACACAAAAAAATCTCTGTTTATTTTAATAGGGTGATATATAGTATACACTCTTTGGTTAATGACACATAACATGAAGAATTGGGAGGTTATGTTATATATAATAACCTGGTTCACTCAAGGCTGTCCCCCAATGTTTTACTAAAGACGTTTTCAAAGCCTACACAACTACCAGATTTCATGAAACTTCCTGTAAAATGTCACCCATGCTGATGCAATACAGTTTATTCCTCCAATTTTTATGGAATATAATCCTAAATACTGAGGTTCTGCAAAAATCAGCATGATTTTCCTTTTTGCAGATTTTTTATTCAGCATAGGAATTTACCTAACTGAAGCATTCTTTTTATTAGGAGCAGCAAAATTATAAAGCAGTTTTTGCTAAATTGAAAGTTAGTATGTGATTTGCTGGTTTCAGAGTTAGAGATATTATTTCGTAAATCCAGTTTTTTAGTATTGCTTTAGGTTTTTAAACTTAGTTGTGATGTTTCCATACAACAAATTAAATATTTTTCAAAGTTATAGATTTTTAACTTGGACTGGTGTTGAAATTTAAAACTTCAGTATGGAGATACAAATTTTAACTCTTATATCTTTCCCCAAAAAATTATTAACAGCATAATGAATTGTAAGAAAGGAGTGCATTTTTTTCAGTGTAGGTATTCTAATTAGAATTTTGCAAACCCCAAAACTGTTTCTGAAAACATGTTTTGCAATCCATTCCACTCCCTCTGAAAGTACAATGCTTTAAATCAAAACAGTTCAATTTATCTTAAAGAAGTAAACACTCAAAATCTTGCAACAAAGGAAATTTTGCCAGACGTTTTTAAACTACTGCATCTGATCAGACTATCACATTGAAAATATAGAACATGAATTGTAAGAGGATATGAACAAGTTTGGCTGGATTTTTTTAATACACTTGTCCCATTTCCATATGAAAAGGAAAATGTATTTTAGAGGAACTAATTGTCATTTCATAATATTAAAAAAATTATCCTTCATCTCATTTTACACTTAGGTATTACTAAGTAATACATTTTTGAAATATATATATAGTAGAAGTTCAAGGGAACTACCTCTGCCTTGGAATCAGTAGGAATATTCATTTTGATTTATCTGAATTATCTTCAGTGTTTGAGGATTTAGGATTTAAAAAAAAAAAAAAGACCCTATTATTTCCAGAAGAGGGACAGTGTTTGTTGTGATATTCTTTGATAGGAGAAATGATCTTTTATTAAATATGACATAATATGTTTACCTGTAAAGATTTAGTTCAGAGACATGAAAAAATTAGAGAGAGAAACTTTTTTTTAAAAACAGACTTTGTATAGATCAAAGCCCAGAATTTTCATTGTGAGAAACTGCAGCATTTCAAATCAGATTTATGTTTGGCACAGATAGTCTAGATGTCTTTTACATAGAAATTTCAATCCAGAGTCACTGGATAACTCCAGGTAAGCATCCAGGATGGCCACCATGCTCTTGCTGAAGTTGTTTTGCTGGTCCCTGTGTCCCACTGAAGCAAATGCCCCTCAGCACCCATCCACTCAGTGCTGAATCCTCTCTGCCTTCTGTGCATTGGAAAACGTTGAAAGTTCAATCATATTTGGGTCATTTTGACATTGGATTATCATCTGTGGCTAGAGTGGAAAAAAACATCTTGCTGTACTCGTGCAGCTCTAACTTATGGTGGAGCTTTGCAGATCTGCACGCTGATCTGTACGTGCACTCAGACTCTGTACACTCAGAAGGCTCTCAAAGATTTAATTGCCTTGCCAACATCTTGTGTTCAGTAAAATTGGTTGGCTCTTCCAAGCCTAGGAAGAGAAGGCAAGGCCAGAGTTGGTCCTTACTGGAAAGGGAGGGTGCAGCCCTGCTAAACTGGTGAAGACTTTTCCCTAGCTCTTAACTGGGACTTAAGCAGGATGCTGCAGTCCCGTTGTAAAGAATGTTGTTTTGCAACCTGATTAGGCAACTTACACAAAAACAAAACCATCCTTCTCTTTCTACCCGCCCTCTCTTATTCCAGCCCTACACTTGAACAACCTCCTGTGACAAAAAAATATTACTTAAAATGTATGACATGTTCTGAAGAGGATTGCTGGACTTAATTTCCTGTTTTTCCTTGCCTCCCTATATAACCTTCGATGTCATAGCTCAGAAGCTTTCTTTGGCAAGAGGAGAGGGTTGTGTCAAGAACAGAGGCAGCTAGTGATGTGCTTTACATATGCAAACACATACCTTGGGTAGCAGGCAAGGGAACATCGAGGAACTGCTGTGGGAAGAGAACAGGATGAACATGGCCTGTGAGAGATGACACTGTAGGATATAGTCATGCTCTTCATGGTCCATGTATTGGTAACATCATGAATATTTTTTCTTACAAGTGATTTTGTTGCACATATAAAGTTAGTTTTGTGGTAATAGACCAGGCAAAGATGGCTGGTGATGAACGTGTCTGTCTCTTACCTGTAAAGCTGACTCAAGTAATAAGAGGTGATTGTCCTGCTCTGCTCTGCACTGGTGCGGCCTCACCTTGAATATTGGGGCAGTTCTGGGCACCACAAGGTAAGAAGGACATTAAGCCATTAGAGAGTGACCAAAGGAGGGCAATGAAGATGGTGAAGGGCCTTGAGGGGAAGTCATATGAGAAGTGGCTGAGGGCACTTGGTCTGTTCAGCCTGGAGAAGAGGAGACTGAGGGGACACCTCTTTGCAGTTACAACTTCCTCAGGAGGGGCAGACACTGATCTCTTCTCTGTGGTGACCAGTGACAGACAGGACCCAAGGGAATGGCCTGAGGTTGTGTCAAGGAGGTTCAGGTTATATATTAGAAAAATGTTCTTCACCCAGAGGGTGGTTGGGCACTGGGACAGGCTCCCCAGGGCAGTGGTCAAAGCACCAAGCCTGACAGAGTTCAAGCAGGGTTTGGACAACACTCTCAGGCACATGGTGTGACTCTTGAGGATGGTCCTGTGCAAGGCTAAGAGTTGGACTTGATGATCCCTGTGAGCCCCTTCCAACTTGACATATTCTGTGATTCTATGAATTGGCTGCCTTGAAAGTGTAGTCAGTGCTCCATTATCAGTCTTTGGGTGTTTCCATTTACAGTGTAATCCTCTCAGCATCACCTTCATCCCCATATGATGTCAATAGATCTTAGATCCCGTCAAACATCGCAAGCGGCAATGACTCATGCAGAGGCAGATGTAATTAATTACAGTTGCATTTTTTATGCTAATACTGATGTTTTTTGCTCCTTACACAAAAGAAACAGGGAAGAAGGGAAAGGGACAGCATTCTCCTTTCTGGTAGCAACGTTATAAAGTGTTTGTAGCTTTCAAAATAAGTTACTGTTCTTTTCCAATTTTTTTTAAGAGGGGGGAAAAAATCCTACTGAGATGCAATCTTAAGCAAAGTACAAGAAGTTCCCAAAGGATGCTGAACATGAACAAAAACATTTCCAGCATTCTTATAATAATACTGTGTTTACTTTGTCAATTAATGATTCATTACCCAAAACAGCTTGTGCATTACAA